TTTTTTGTACTGTACAAATACAATAATTAATTCTAATTGTATTTTATTCTATTAAAAATTTTTCATTTGTGATTTAAGTGGTTTTTTGATTTAAGGACGTTCTTCACATAGTTTGTGGGGGAAAGTTCAGAGAAATGACAGAAATGCTACTGTGTAGAGTAAAGCTAGCAATTCTTTTTCTTATGTGGATGTACTGACACACATATATTCTTTCACGCACACCTTATCCCCTCTTTCTAAATTTATTTAAAAGTAATCTTTTGTACCCAAAAAATAAGGAGATTCCTAAAAATCATGTAAATGACATTTGATGTAATTTTTTCATATGGTTACATGTTAAATATTCATTTTTTTAATGTATCATGTGTAAAATAATAGTACAGTCAAACGAGGTGCAATGTTCGTGGGTGTTTCTTATGCTATTTAAATATACGTTTGACGTTTGAATAATATCTGTTAAGAAAACCTATGTGTGATGAACCTCTTGAAGGGACATTCACTGGCATGCAATACTACCCTATTGAAGAAAACTATATTATAGGATGATTTTTCTCAATTTTCTATATACAACTAGCAAACCCGGCGAACTCCGTTTCACCACCAGATGGCTTCGTTTTATGTAACATTTCGTTTGGTGATTAAAAGATAAAGAAAATTTTTTTTTTTTTTTTATATTTGAAAAGGAAAAATTTTATTTCATTTCACAACAGTAATGAATTCATTTCGATTACAAAAGTGATGTGCTGTTTAGTTGATTTTTTCTCAGTAAATGACAGTGAATCCAAAGTAAATACTGAATCGAAGCGTTTTACGTGTCCGCAAATTATCCGTTTCATTGAAGTGCTCTTTGGTAAACCACAAAAGTTTTTTGGTCTGACGTTAACACAAATAAAGTGGATGGTTTCCCAACTCGTGAACACGCAACGTATAACTGCCCATGTGAAAAACAATGATTTTCTAAATTTATCCCGCAAACACTAAGCGATTGGCCTTGCGACTTGTTAATTGTCATTGCGAACGCAAGGTGAACTGGAAATTGCAATCGTTTGAAGTCAAACAGAAGATCAGTCGGAATCATTGGTATTCGAGGAATACATACATTTTCACATGCGTACTTTCCGTTAATAATGGTTGCCTCAATCAAATTCGGCATAAGTCTTTTTACCGAAAGTCGAGTACTGTTGCAAAGTCGCGGTGGATTCAAATTACGTAATATCATAATAACTGTACCAACTTTGAGTTGCAAGTTATGTGGTGGAAATCCTGGTAACTCCAGAAAGTTCAAAAACTCCGTTGGATAATTTACTACATCATCGGGATTTGTTATGGAATCAACGGATTTGTATGTCACCAAATCGCCAGCAATTTTTGATTGAATGGTGAAATTCAGTGCGTGAACATAATTTTTCTTTGCGGCAAGAATTGCTCGTTGACTTAACCAAGCATAATTCTACTAATTCTCACTAATGTTTGGGAAAACATTTATAATAAGAGCTAATTGAGAGTCTACAAATCGGCAAAAGTCGTTGGTAAGAGTAATTAATCCAGATGTCGCATCAACTGGGACTTTTCCATTTCCAACAGCTAACAATTGTTAGGAAAATTGTGTAGCACTTTGATCATTTTGAAGTTGAACTCTCATATTAGTGGTAAGCGACAATGTTTTTACGTTATTCCATAAAGGTGATGCCTTCAGGCAAGCATTCAATTCATATGCAGGCGTTCCACGGGGAATTACTGGCAACGTCTGCCTGAAATCGCCTGCCAACAATATCATCAAGCCGCCAAAGATGTTGTTATTTCACCGAAGATCCTTCAGTGTGAAGTTAAGGGCTTCAAGTGATGTCTTATGTGCCATTGTGCACTCATCCCAAACAATAAGCTTGCATTGCATCAACAATTTTCCCATTGCACTAGATCGGGAAATATTGCATGTTGGAGTATCAATTGTGTTTAAATTGAGTGGCAACTTAAGCGCCGCAATTCCAGATGATGCTAACGCCAAAGCTATGTCACATCTTGATCAAATAGTGGCCAAAATCAATGAAATGACAAATGTTTTCCCTGTTCCTCTAGGTGCGTCCAGGAAAAATAGACCACCAGTATTATTGACCACTGCTTGCATTAATGTTTCGTATACTTGTTTTTGCTATTCATTCAGCAACGGCACATTATTTCGAACGAATTCCTGCAATGTATTAACATTGTATTGCAGCTCTCGATTTAATTCTTGGTTGAATGCATCGTGCATCAATCGATTTAGCGCCATTATTCCTACTTCAATCAGTAGCTTGTTTGCAATAGTCAAGAATTGATAGTCAATCAGAATTAATTCTTCATTATAGATTTCATCGGTTATTTGGATGTCAGGATTATTTGTTTGAATGCGCAAGCGATGCAAGATATCTTCACATATGTCGTCTTTTTATTTGTTCCATAACTGAATTGGTTGTGAAGGAAAACATGTGGTGATGATAATTGCGAACAGCATTCGTATTTGGTACGCATTTGATGAAACAACTGAATCCGCAAGTGTTAAATTCCAATGAGAATCGTTCTCCAGCAAACCCAATAGTTGACATGCTTCTCGATATGCTTAGCATTGGTGGCCATTCACAGTTTTCAAATGCGCAAATGATTTTGGTCCACGTACATTTACCAACAGCAGTCGCAAATAAAAACATTCATCATTTCTAGGATGAACAGTATACATGCGACCTATTAGTGCATCAGTGGAAAACACCTGTCGCCAATCTGGAACTGGGGTTCCTTGTTTGCGACGTTGGAATTTCTTTGTTGATTGATTCCAAGTTTAATACTTGGGCATTTCAACGTACATTAGCGTCGCTGCGAATGGATCTGCTGCACACATTGCAAAGAAGCTAGTCAATGTTGTCGATGGTGGTCTCTCAGCTCGTTGTGCCGCATTAGCCTCAGTGAAGTAAACTCTTTGGCCATTTTCTAAATGCACTGCTAAATGTGTAACTGTGGGATATCTTTCATGAATTTGAAATGACAATAATCACCACAGTGCTTTATTAGTACTGACGTATCTGCCTATTTGGAAGTTGCTGATTTCGTCATTCGCATTTTCCGACGAAATACCAAACACAGCCATGTCGCTGCCTTTTGTGACGTACTTGCACAAATATTTGATTGATTTGGCCGAATGACAACTCTCAACGTTTGCATGTGTTTCGAAAATTCGTGATAGCAGCGGGTAATATGGTACAATAAACTCATTTCCGATCTCAATCTCTTGATTTTGAACTTTAACTTTGATAGTTCAACCATTATCTTCTTTTGAACGCCGACGATAAACTGGATATCCATCGTTCCCTATGACTGTTTCAGCAACTAACGATCGCGGATATCGTTTTGTGCACTTTTTATCAGACATGCAAGGTGATAATGGATTTAATGCACAGCACGGTCCATGCACCATCTGTGTCGTCACAATGCCGTGTAGATGGGGATCAGTGACTGGATCAGGAATTTCAGCTGATATGATGTCATCCACTTCATTTGAATGTAATTTGTTCAGCAACCAAATTAGGATATGAGCATGCGGTAGTCCACGCTTCTGCCATTCCACTGAGTACATATAACAACGTGTGTCACCAAAAACTCGATACTTAGTAAGCACATCCATCATAACCTTGAGTTTTTGCTGAAATACTCTGGCGATTATGTCATGGCGATTTTGCGGTTTTTGGCCTGGTTCCAACTGACGTTCAATTTCCGTCCACTTCGGATTGCATGTGAACGTAATAAATAAATCCGGAGTTCCATAAGTTCGCACGTACGTCATAGCGTCTTGAGCGTATTCGTGCATGTGGCATGGGCTTCCGATATAAGATGATGAGAGAATCGTCAGACGTCCAATATTCTGAACACCACCATGTGAATAAATAGCATCACGCAAGTGTATATAGTCCTCAGATCGTAGCTTTGCCTGATTGAATCGGATGAACGCTAAACGTTCGGTCTCGACTTTGAAATACATGTCGACAGCGAATTGCTGGAATAGCCAACGGAACTTCAGAATAACATTCTCCTCATGTGTACGAATCATCATATGATACGCATAGTAATTCATTGCGCTTAGATTTTTATTCGTTGATACGCCTGAAAATGCAAAATTAAATTAATTGTTAATGGAAACCAATAACAGCAATAATAGCAATAATTAGTGTGTGAATATTGTACCTGTAATTGGATCGACCATCTTGAACGTGATGTCGTATCCGTCTTGCCCTTGCCAATAAATGATTGGATATTGTAACACATCGTATAAACGATATGTCTCGTTTACACGATGCATGATATTGCTTCTTCGCTGAACGACAATGTCTCGCGATTTAGTTGGATCGCCAACAATAATTGCAGCAACATCATTAACGGTGGGTGCATTAAATCTTCGCACATGTTCACCTGTTGGGGTACAATCCGCTCTTATGACAAATTCGTGCGTATACGATCGCATTCGTTCCAATGCTGTTTTGAACGTATTAACCACAGCATTGCTAGCGTGAAAAAATGCTTGCAACTGTTCAATAATTCGTCTCTTTAACTGTTGTGTTCCCTGTATATTGCACTGCACATTCAGCTGATCCACCATCAACGAAATGAAATGTATTTGCAGAAATTGATGCGATTCATCTGGTGTTGGCACCATTGAACCATGCAAATGATATATTTGTCCTTGTATCTGTAATTGCAAACAATCATTTGTTGAAGAATACGGTGTAACTTCTGATCGTGTGATGGTGTAGTGTGTGGTGTATATGTAGTTGTTATGTGTTGCAATTCATTGTGATTGGTTATGTGTGTTGTATCTTTGACCTTGTAAGTCGGCATGAAGCCGCCTTCTTGAATGACATTAGCTCCAAAGGAAGTCATGCGAAAGCAGTTATTGTATTCAAGGATGTGTTGAAGAAAATGGCTGGAATCGGGGTCACTTCCATCGAACAATGGTTTCAGTGGCTGTGGTGGTGTAAGTAATGGATCCAGTTTGACTTTTCCACTTGCGCAGCACAATCCAGCCGTTTCTCTTTTGAACTTCAACGCATTGCAATATCGGCATATAGTCGTCATTGGTCCAATACCTAAATTTTCATCATCACTGTAGTTCGCAGTAGGATCATATTGGAATGCCAAGCGATTGTATGATGCCAATGATCTTCGTGTGCTCATGCGTTGTCTCAATCGGGCATTTTCTCTTATTATATTTTGTCTTTCTTCGCTTAAGTTCTGTGAATGCACTTGTTGCTGGCTTGCATGTCTTGTGCAGCGGCCGATGTTTGAACGTCGTCCTCTAGGCATTTTGGACTATGGACAGAGTGGTGAATTTAACCTCAAATGCACGATCCACATAATTTACACAGTTTAACTCACCACCTTAAAGGCAAATGCCTGCTGTTAAAATTGAATAAAAATTTGCACAATACACGTGATTGATTTGATGGTTTCCAATTGAAACGTTAGGAAACGAATAACTTATTTTTTTTAACTTTTTTTTTCATAATTTCACAGTGAATACAATACTGGTTAGTCGCATGAAATTAAATGAGCAGAGAACAATGAGTAGCTGTCAAACAATGTATCACGCACCGGCGCCATCTACTTAAAATATTGGTTTGTAGTACATGCTATGTATCAGAGATGGCGCTGTATGTGAAAAAAGATTTTCCCACTTTTCTGTTGAAATTTTTCCTGAATTTTCTTTGCCATAAACCTCACGGAGCCCAAGACCTTTCCAACGAATGCAAAACCGTGGAAATTGGTTCGTGCGTATTTTTACACTATATGCTCTCTCTGCAGCATGCACGCACTTGTTGCCTGCGCAGTTTGTAAATACCTATATATATATGTATGTTCGAATATATAAGTTTTGATACTCTTCATGCCTAATTCGTAAAATTTTAGCTGTGCTATACAGCTTTGCCATACTTGTGTCAAAATTAGATTTATGTATAAATGCTGCTCACAATAAATATATTTTCTATATCACAAGACTATCAGCTGCAGTGTATATATACACACATATGAATNTATCATATCAGCTGCAGTGTATATATACACACACACACATTTGAACATGCATATATATAGGTATTTATGAGCTGTGCAGGCAACGAGTGCGTGTATGCTGCAGAGAGAGCATATAGTGTAAAAACAAAAAGTGGGGGAAGCAAACGGAAGACGGCACTGGAAAAAACTCCATCGCCATATTGCGTTTTGTCTATAGCTATAGTCCATGCGTTGAAGGTGTTGACTCTCTGCTTTAAAACCATAAGTTTCTGGCGCTAGGCTCTCATGTCTCATAATGGCATTACGGCACGCCGTGTCTATGCATATACACTGGCGACGCCATAGCTACACGGCAGCCTGCGCTTAGCTCGTAGCAGCTACAGTAAAAGCGCATGGCGTGCCGCACAGGCTCATTGTATTGACGCTCTCATGCAATAATGCCATTTTGTTCGTCTGCGCGTACTTTTGTACATATTTTTTTTTTTAAGCTTACTGTTCGTTTCCGACGCTAAAAACCGTGTTTTACCATTTTTGTCATTTTTTTTGAGGCACTAGAGAAAAATATTTTCCGTTCGACTTTATTACACTCGATTGGTTTTGTTTAATTCTTTACAATATATTTTATCATGCCAGTCTGAATTTCTTGATCACACTATTGGGATTCCAAAATGTCACGTGACTCTCACGATATATATATATATATA